GATGCCGGCTACAGAGACTGGCGAAATGTTAGGAAGAACAACCTTCAGAACACGGTCAAAGAGCTGAAAACCCACAACAATCAAAACGTTAGGTTTTCATACAGAACATGTGGGATTGCTAATTTTTTCAACAGAACATACATTTCTTCCCCCTTCCCCCTCCATGTGGTGGCTCACTAGATAAATATTTTCCTCTTAGATATTTCTGTTTAATTGAGAATCATTTGTATTATAGCAACTGATGATTTGTGCTTCTTGAAGTTTAAATTTAGAACTTGCTACTAATGATTTTGAAGGATCCTTTGTTCTTTGTGGATTTTCTTAAAAAAAGAGTTTCCTTTGTGAATATTGATTTCACATATTAGCTAGATGTTACCTATAGTCAGCAAATATTCAGTATTGGTGAAATTCTTTAGCTTACCATAAGTTGGAATAGTCTTTCTGTCATCAGTCTCTCTTGTTTTTCTGTCATCAGCAAAGACTTCCCTTTTAAGGCAGGCTTTTAAGCAATAAGTAAGGATCTATGGAATACTGTATTTGTCACATTTATATATTTTAAATGTTTTTAAAATGTTTTTAAATTGTTTTAAATATTGGCTTTAGTCTTGATTAATGTTGAATTATATTTAATATAATTTGTGTTTAATTTTTAAACCTGTTGTATTGCATAGTTTTAACTGCTTCTGGACCCTATGGGGAGAAAAGAGGTATATAAATAAATAAAATAGCCAGTTTGACCCTCAGTTTCTTTAGTTGAGTTAACCTTATGGATATTTGATCCTTTGGTTTAGAGTAATCAATTTATTTGATAAGTTTGTTTCAGATACAGGATATATCAGAGTGAATTTATGATGTATAGCGACATTATAAGATGCCAAGTAAGCTTGCACCCTGGTGAAATATGTAGTGGTGTATAGAGCTACCATTAACACTTTGGAGAGAAGTGTGGCTCAAACAGGGAAACATTGCTGTTTGTTATATCATTTTTCTTTGCTATTTGATACGTCAGTGACCTCTGTAGAGATTATGTGGCCATCAGTGGCAGTTTTGTGAAAACTAATAGCTAGCTTTTTTTTTTTTTTTCAAAATGGAACTTGGGATCTAGATATGTTCTGCTGCTTTTACTGCTTGTCTGTCATTTGCAGGTATTTCTCCTTTGCAGAATAGCTTGTGGTAGAATATTTGCAAGGAAACTGTGTTTGTCCAGTAAGTGGTGTTCCTCATGCATATATTCATGATCAGACCTGACAGCTACATGGTCTCCTGTTAAGTCTTTGTGCTTACAGACCAGCACTTAGAACTATTGATTAGCCACTTCTCTTCTGTCCTTACTCAGTTTGGATCCATGCCGAAATCTTTATATTTTGCTTATGGTTTCAGAGAGAACTTGTATATTATATGCCAAGCAACTTTTTATTGGTGCAGGTTGTTTGTCTCTTTTTTAAGTCTTATTTAACACAGAGAACTATTAATACTGCTTCCATACATACTGTGTTACTTGTTTCTTTCTTGCTACAGGATACCAGAAGGTCCTATTGATCAGGGCCCTGCTGCAGGAAGAGTACATGCTTTAGAAGAACAGCTAATAAAAGCCAAAGAACAGATGGAAAACTATAAGCAACAAACAGGAGATGGTTTGTACAATACATATATTTTTGTTTTTGTTTCAGAATGGATTTGCGTTTCCACAAATGTTTGTTGTGTTTAGTGGGATAAATAATGTTGATAATTCTTCCCTCTCCTTTTCCCTCTGTTTTATTAGTGGGCTTAGGAAAAGATCATGAAATATTGAGAAGGAGGATTGAAAATGGAGCCAAAGAACTTTGGTTTTTTCTCCAGAGTGAACTGAAGAAACTAAAAAACTTGGAAGGAGGTGAATTACAAAGGCACATTGATGAGCTTCTATCTGACTTGGGTGATCATGAAAGGTACTAATAACTATTACTGCAACATTTCAGTACTGAAGATTGGAAACTGGGCAAGAGAGACTGTAACAATGTATTTCTGCTTTCTGGATATGTCTTCTGCATCAGCTGATTCCATCAGCTTAAAATATAAATATTTGATACAGAGAATTATGCAACTAACCTTCAGTGCTGTTAAAGAATGTCTGATTATTGTGTTCCCATAGTTCTTTTTAATTTATTTTTTGCAAATATGGAAGAAGTAGCCTGTGTGGAGAAATCCATACTTTTGTCTAGATTTTGTTCAGTTGGATTTAATGACACTGTGTAAAACAGCTTAGCATCATGAAAATTTTTTACATAGAAGAAAGAATAAGAATGGAACATAACTGTCTATCTCAAGGGTCTCAAACATGCGGCCCGGGGGCCATTTGCGGCCCGCCGGATGATAGTTTGCGGCCCCCGCCTTGCCTGCCCCCCTTGAAGTGCCCACGCATCCTCTGCTGTCAAGAGTCCAAAAAAAGCCTCGCCTCGCTCACCGGCTGTCTCCCAAGACAGTGCCTCTTGCACCCTCCATCCGGAACTGCAGCCTGACAGCTGGCCCGCTGTTGGCCGGCTGCAATTCCAGATGGAGAGTGCAAGAGGCAATGTCTTGGGGGAGAGCCGCTGAGTGAGGCGCTCTGCTGGCCCTTTTCCCCGAGCGCCTGATCCACCGCCGAGCAATGCCTGAGAGCGGAGCTTGCTCCCAGCCTGTCCTCAAAGAGTACCTCCAACAGCACCGCCAACAGCAGCTGCTGCCACCACCATCTCTTCCAGGGAAGCGGCTCTCTGGCTCTCTTTCTCTCTCAGCACCCCCAGCACCAGGGGCCAGCAGCCGCTTCAGCACCCGGTGGTGCTTTCTCCTCCTCCTCCTCTTCGTCCTGCTTCAGCCACCTTGGCTCTGGAGGCTGCCTGGGCTCACCTTGCAAAGTTTGCTCCTCTGTCGTGGTGGAGGTAGTTGCTGCTGCTGAGTGCACCTTTTTTTGAGGGGGGCCCTCAGAGGAAGGTTGCCGGACCTTCGTGTGTGTGTGTGTGTGTGTGTGTGTGTGTGTACACACACGCACCTGTCGGGGGGTCTATTTTGTGAGGGTTTTTTTTAAATTTTATGTCGGGCCCTCCTTTCCCCCTGGCTATGCGTTCCCCGCTGCTCCCTTCCTTCTCCGTTTCTTCATCCTGCTGGTGGTGGTGGTGGTAGTGAAAAAGGAGCTGGAGGGGGTCGTGGCTGGTGATGAGGGCTCGTGTCCCCCTCCTCCTCCTCCTTGGGGCCCCAGCCAGGCTAAGGAAACTCCTGGGTGGCTTCCTCGGGATCTTGCTCCACTTGGCAGAAAATCTGATGCGGCCCAGCCTCACGCAGACTCTGCCTCCAGCGGGCCCCAGGTAAATTGAGTCTGAGACCCCTGGTGTATCCAATAATTTGCTTTCAGTATATAGCTAACACACATGGGACGTGTTGGCGCTGTGGGTTAAACCGCAGAAGCCTCTGTGCTGCAAGGTCAGAAGTTCAGCAGTTGTAAGGTTGAATCCACGCGATGGAGTGAGCTCCTCTTGCTTGTCCCAGCTCCTGCCAACCTAGCAGTTCTAAAGCATGTAAAAATGAAAGCAGATAAATAGGTACCAGCTCAGTGAGAAGGTGACAGCATTCCGTGTCTAGTCGTGCTGGACACGTGACCACAGAAACTGTCTTTGGACAAAAGCTGGCTCTGTGGCTTGGCAACGGGGATGAGCACTGTGCCCTAGAATCGGACATGACTGGACTAAATGTCAAGGGAAACCTTTACCTTTACCTATATAGCTAACTACATTCATTGACTGAAATCAAGTTCCTTAGTATAAGAAAATCTGTTAATTTAAGCCTGTTTACAAATGGCAAAAAAAAAATAAATCCCTGCAGTAATTTTGGGGGGGGTTTAAGCATGCACCGTGCTGATGTATGTGCATGCCCTGAAGAATTACAGTGGGGACTCTTTATTTGCTGGCTAAGTATGGGCTGAAAGTTATAAATTTTCTTATGCTAAGCAACAAGATATCAGCTGTTATGTCTCAAATTTTATTTCATCATGCTTCACAAATTCCAGAAAAGTAATATTAATTAGCCTGTTGTAGCAAAAGCAAATAAGTGTAGTACTTTGTAACAAATTTATTGAGAAAATGGAGGAAGAACCAGTGGAGACATTGGAAGTGGGGAGATTAGAAGAAAATTTGGCATTTTTCTTCACGGAACAACTAGTGAAAAATGTTTTAAAGAACACAAAAGGGGAAATATTCTGATGTAGGAAAGTATTGGCAGGGAGTCTCGGCATTGTAAAACTCAGAAAATTGCAGAGAATGAGAAATTTTCCAATTCATATGCATAGTTCATACCAATATGTGCTTACTGACAGGCTGTTCTTGCTAGTGATTACACAAAATCTCCTTTTTTATAATTTGAACCCATTAGTTTCAACCCTGTCCTCTGGGGCTATTTGTATTTTGCAGTAAAAGTTTGGAAAAACAGGGCTTGTAATTGAAGCTTAGACATCACTTTTCTATCCCACTCTGTTTTACACACACAATATTAAAACTTTAAAATGTTAAAACCATTAAAATATGCAATATTATAGGATATTATTATAATATTGCCTATTTTTAATGGGTTTGATGTTTTTAAAGTTTTAATATTATTGTATGCCGCTCAGAGACCACTGGAAATGGAATGGCTAAAAAAAATCTTATAAATAAATAAATATGGCAACCCTGTTTTCTCAGAACTTATGTGGGTTTAATTTGTTGGACTTCAGGTCCAAAAGGACACTTTTAAGCCAGAGTGGCAACTCCAGACTTCCAGATATTTCAGATTGCATATGTCAGAGTTCCTCATTGTTACTCAAAGTGGGTAGAGCTGATGGGAGTTGTAGACCAAACACATCTAAAGGTTGACTGTTGCCCACCTCTGCTGCAAATATAATTAGGGAGCAGGCCCCTACATAAATAATTGTAGACACATACAATCAAATTATGCACCAGGGTTTTCTGGACAGATGGCATGATCTTTTGGCAACTGTAAAATTCTGAACCGTAACACCTTCCTTACGAATTTTCCTAATTTCTGAGTTTATGCAGAATTCTGTTCCTACACAGTGTAAAATACCCTTAATAAAAATAAAATACAGAGAGATAGGGTGGAATAATCCTTTTTCTCCTATGCTTTTCCTCGATTAAATGGTATAGACTTCAATGTTACATTGTGTTAATGCATGAGATGGCAGGGATTATACTTTTGGTAGTATTGCAAGAGTACTATCAGTATTCTAACTGTAACAGATAATGCCCATTGAAAACTTGTAATAGTTGCTTTGTGGTCAGATGGTGAAAAGAAGTTAATTCCTCCTACTGGAACTGGTTTGTTTTGCAGTTTGTGCCCATCTCTAGTTGGAATATATCATGCCTCTTGATAACATTGAACCCTGAAGCTATTATTGATGCAGACCATACAATACAGTAGTTCAGTCGAATTTTGATAGAGGCTGTGGCATTATTTTTCTTCAATAGCTGAGATAACTGCCTGGTTGTTCAGAAAACATCAGAAACCAATATCCTGGCAATCATGCAAAATATTCTAGCAAGGTTCAGCAGCTTGTCATTTGAATTTCAGGTTTACTACAGTATCTGTTTGCTTTGATTTTGGTACTGTCTTCCCACACTATGACAACAGAGGGACAAGATTCTCATTATAGTCAGATAAAGTTTCCTCATTGCAAGTCTGTGGTAGATGCTACAGTCCAAGAGTGCCCTCAGAGAAGGCACTGGTAAACCATTTTGGAGTACATCTAGAAAACCCTGGCAAAAGTCTCCTAAGAGGTAATCAGCTTGGTGGAATTCAGTTAGTGTTAAAGTACACTTAGCAATGTGCCATTTGGCAAGGCTTTGTAGGAGTTGGGTTTCATGCCACAGTTGAAGTTTGAGTTATGTTTGTGGTGAAAATCACTTTAGGCCATCAACATAGCCATTGAAAATAAGCCAATACACACCATTTTTACTTCCATATGCAAATAGTGCTCAAAACAGCTTTTGATGTCAGCATTAGAACTCACTTCGACTTCAGATGTTCTTCTTGCTTTAGTTGCTTTGGTCTCTATTGTGTCAACTTCAGTACATTTAATGTGAAAGACATTGTGTAGGCCTTCATGTCGGATAGTGTTCCGTGTGTGACTGTGAGCCTAATGTTTACTTTGTCCCTTCCGCATCAAAACAACATCACAGCAAGGAATCTAAGTTGAAGAAATTAAAGAATTCGTAACATCCTTATTGTTCTGGTACTAACTTCAGAGATCTTGTCATTGGTGTCAGATCATTCAACTGTTAAATCCATTAAGGTTGTCTCCTATACCAGTGCTGGAGATAGTCTAATAAGCAGCCCAACAAGCTGTATAAAAGTCATCAAGAAAAAAAAATGAAGTAAAAGGCATTATTTAGCTCTAAGCATGTTTAGACACAAAGAACAATATTCCTAAACAGGGTTCATCCATGCCTATGTGAAATCCATTGTTCACTCTCTGGAGATGCGTTCTTATCTATCTCTTTGCAAGTAGATGTGCAGCTTCTTCTCCTGATACTTCTGACAGGAGTATGAGAAACAATGACTTTTTGTACTATAATCTTTGTTTACCTAACTTGCTAGGAAACAACTATACTTGCTAAGAAGCAATGACTTTTTTCCCCAGTGATCTTGTTTGCATATTCTACTTGCCAACAATAAATTCTGCTTATAGGCAAAAGGATCAACAGACATATATCACACTTTTCCAAAACAATTATTCACAGCTATTGTGTTTATTATTTTCATATCTCTTGTGAATAAATGGGTTAACAAAATGAAATAAGTGAATATGCCAAAGAATGGTTATGATCTCAGTGACCTTGCTTTGCTGGAGCCAATTGTAGTAAATAATGTTTCATGCTACAAGTTTAAAAGAATTAATACTTTTAGGGCAGTTTTTAGGCAATATTGTATACCCCTTTAATTGTTCTAATTGAAACAGACAAGGTATAAAACCCTGACAGATAGACACTTTTATATGCTGCTATTACTATCAGAGGGACGTGGTGGCGCTGCAGGTTAAACCACAGAAGCCTCTGTGCTGCAGGGTCAGAAGACCAGCAGTCGTAAGATCGAATCCACACGACGGAGTGAGCTCCCATCACTTTGTCCCAGCTCCTCACCAACCTAGCAGTTCGAAAGCATGCAAATGCGAGTAGATAAATAGGTACCACCTTGGTGGGAAGGTAACAGTGTTCCATGCCTAAGTCGCGCTGGCCACGTGACAACAGAAACTGTCTCTGGACAAACGCTGGTTCTACAGCTTGGAAATGGGGATGAGCACTGCTCCCTAGAGTTGGACATGGCTGACTAAATGTCAAGAGGAACCTTAACCTTTACCTATTACTATCAGAGTTGGTAATTATCAAGCTACCATGGCAGCATATCAGAAATTTCTATAGTAGATGAAGTCTTCTATTTCTCTATTTCTTGAGGACCATTCTATTTTTTTAAAAGGGTGCATTATTTGGATACCTGAAAAATCCATTTATCAAGGAACATGATGGATTGTGCTGCGAAAGCTATGCTTCCATACCTTTACGAAAGTGTGGATTTTGGGATCTGCAGGAGTTATGAAAACAAGAATTGTAGATTTGCTTTTGATGGGGAAAAGTCTGTTCAGTTCAGAAACATACGAAGCCATGGCTTTCTATTTAGAACTCACAGTACAGCCAAGAGAATGGTAATAGGGTCTGGACAACAGCAAAGACCCAAGCAATATAAAAATATATGGAACTACGTATCTTCATATGGCAAGTTTGGATTGCAATTGTGACAACCATAATCTGATCACTTCCCTCAGGCATATCACAAATATCACTAATGTTAAGGAACATCTTCCTTCTCTTCTTTATAATTAAAGAAGCCTTGCATATCATCAAAATATCATCTAAAATAACATCCTATGATGTCAAAGTCCAGCCTTTACCCAGAGAATACTGAGCATTTAAGCTTCAGTTTAGAAAAAAGCAAAGAGAAGAAAATACTTTAGGACAGGGGTGGGCAATATGTAGTCTGCAGGCTGCATGCAGCCCCTAAGCCATTTTACAGCCTCCCAAGACTGTTGAAAACCTGCACTGCAATGTCTGAGCCATTTGATTCTGAGGCCATTCTTCCCCATTGTTTTCATGTTTCTGCTTAGATTCTTGCCTCTTTGCAAATGTTTTAGGTAGAAGTGTCTGTGGAACTTATATATTACCTTAGAATCACATGCTCCTAGGTTTCCTCATATTCTTGTTGTCTTAGTGGCATGGGCTGTCACATCTTTTGTTATTCCTTGGCTGACTGACTGATTTATGTGAACACAACATGCTTATGGACAAATACCTAGAAAATTTTGCGATTGTACTTGAAAATTATTGGAAGTCTTCAGGTAGAGGAGATCTTGACACTCCAGATGTTATGGCCATTGGACAAGGATGATGGGAGTTACACATCAGCAATCTATGGAAGGTCGCATAGGTCTTGAAGCCCTCATGGGAATGCACTAGGGAGTTTAGAAGTATAAAGAGCTTTCTTGGTGATTCATAATGTACAATGTTTATATATGTCCTGTTTGATGTCATAAACTACATTAATTTTTTTAGAGGTACATACTGTTAAAGAAATCATTTTGTTTAGGAGTATATATCATCATAAGAATCACTGCCACAGTGCAAAGATCTCTTAAAATATAAAAGTCAAATCTAACACTGTTATACACACTGAAGATGATTTATTCTTTGCCAATCTCAGCTCTAACTAAATTAATTTGTTTGCCTGAATGTTCAATAACTGTACATTTCCTTACTCTGACAAGTGGAAAATATTAAATTTGCCTCTTATCTAGACCTGGGCATTAAAGTGAATTATTTATGTCTCTGTTCATTTCTATAAAGCTGATACTTCAGGTACCATTGGCAAAATAATATTTTATAAGACAGTTTGGCGATTCAGTTGGCTTCAGAGACAGATTACATTTTTCCTTTGGTGGAAACACTTCCTGCTAATGTTGATGAATGTAATGTTATATATCAAATAATGTTAAATTGTCTGATGTTATATATAAAGTATGTAATCAAAATACATTTGCTGAAATGATATAATTGTTTTGTTTTGGTATAAATTTAAAATGCATACTATTGGAATCATAGATGGGTAGATATGTAGATGTTAAGCCTGCCCTACATTTTGGCAGTATGGTGAAAAATATATTATTCCTGTTTTTAAATATTTTCTACATATTTGAAAAATATTGTGAAATAAACATTTAATTTTAATTTTATCACAAATTCTTCTCATTAGTTAAGCTAGCCACAAAGGTCATTTGTGTTGTTCTTTTTTTCTTCTTTCTGGAAACAGGTCAGTAATAACAGATCTGTACTACCTCAGTCAAACAGATGGAGCTGATGATTGGCGAGAAAAAGAAGCCAAAGATTTGACAGAACTGGTACAGAGGAGAATAACTTATCTTCAGGTAAGAATCTTGTAAAAATATGCTTACATAGTTGGAAAGTGAATGGAATTTTCTGAAATACTATCTAAAATAAATTAGGGCAGTGTGAAAATGCACAAGCTAGCTTCATAAAAGGTAAAGCAAACTTTAGTGATTAAAATGAAAATGTTTCATGTATTGAGCTGTATCCTGTGATGACTGACTATGAGCAACTGCTGGAGGACAAGATTCCTTTCGTCCACAACCGCAACATTTGTTTCAAGTCATTTTCCAACCCTCAGAGTGGATTGGGATGCCATTATGTCTATAGGGTAGAGGAGAAAGCAAGTCCATTGAATAGAATTCTATTTGCCAGGCACAGGTGGAACTTGATAAACAGCAGAGGATTACTTGAGAATATTTAGTAAACATGTTTGAAGCACACCTACAGTCATTTAGCTATTAAAATCATTTTTATTATTAACTTGATCTGTTGGTGCTTTTTATCACTATAAATGTTAATTTTAGTAGCTTCTACGAAATTGAACTTTACAAAGAGTATATATTTTTTGAATGTCAGACCATTACTGATTTTTCCATCTGTGGAAGCTTACTGGGGGTGTGGAACTGGTAAAAGCACTCATTAAATATCTCACATCTTTTGTATTCTCGTAGTTTAACAAATAGCAGAGGGAAGGAAGTCTTCATTTAGATATGATATTTGATACTTTAGTAGTGTATTGACATAGAATATGTACCATCTAACTTTCAGCTCTGCTGGGATATTGACATAGAATATGTTCTGATCAATGTACCATCTAACTTTCAGCTCTGCTGGGCAGGGCTCCGCCTTGCACGCACACGACTTTTCTCCTGCGTGTGCAACTCTGCCTCCCCAGCATGCAGGGTTCCATTATGACTGGAACCTAATGTGATTGCTGCATGAAGGGTGAAGACAGCTGCGTGGAGGCAGGCACAGGTGCACATGCACGGGCGTGCCCAGCTTAGAGGGAACATTTGTTCTGATTTTTTTAAAAAATGTAAGCATTTTAAAGGGAATGAAAAGGTATATGTGGCATAAGTACACATATTCATCATCCACTTAGTACCGTATATTCCCAAAACAAAATAAGATATGGCATAGTTCTTTATAGGGCTTGTTGTTTGTGGATATGGAACAAAAACACAAGGAAGTAGATTGTAGGATAATGTTGTGTTTAAGCAACTTAAGCATATGCCTTCATGTATTTAGAAACACTCTGGTTTCTTATGATATATGGAAGTATACAATAAGATATTCTTACAAATGAATACAGATAAAATTATTCTCAGGAGTTAGACTTTTAAGGGAAATAATCTAAAGCAAAACAGTAGCATCTATAGATGGCAAACTGTTGTAAAGAAAAAGACTGGAATTAGTAATACATATGTTAATACCGTCATAAGGAGAGAAAACAGTATTGGCACTTGTAAGTTATGTAAATTAAAGCACAATTATGACTATGCTACATTACCTTAGTCAAAAGAAAATATCAACATTCTAAAGCATGTTTTCTTTCATTTTACGTTGTAAAGGAATGAGGAAAAAAGGAAGAATAATTTGCAATGGGAGAACAAAATGTTATATTCAGCTGTAGTGGAACAGATTACAGTGGTGCCTCGCTTAACGATTTTAATTGGTTCCAAAAAACACATCGCTATGTGAAAACATTGTTAAGCGAAACCCCATTTCCCATAGAGACGCATTGAAAACCGGATAATCCGTTCCAATTGGAACGGATTACCATCCTTAAGCGAAAATCCCCACAGGAAAAAACGTTAAGCGAAACCCATTGAAATGCATTGAATCCTATTTCAATGGGGGAAAAATTCACAAAAAATTCAAAAAGACTCAGAACAAAGCCAAATTAAGTTAACGAAGGTTTTATTAGGTGCACTAATGATTCCAAGCATTTTAAACATTTTTTAAACATTTTAGAATATTTTAAAAATAGCAAAAACGGGGCTGTAAAAAAAAACATTAAGCGAAACAAGGGGACCTAAAACTGTCATCGTTAAGTGAAGCATGGTCCCAAAATCGTTAAGCGAAAATCGCCCATAGGGAAAATCATTAAGTGAAGCACAAGATCACTCTGAAAAAGCCATTGTTAAGTGAATTTTTCGTTGTACGAAGCAATCGTTAAGCGAGGCACCACTGTATAGTATTCCTGACCTTTGCATTAATATAACTATAAAGAGCTTCAAAGTTTGGTCTTCTTAAGGGAAAACTGTGTACATTTACAATTTTTATATGTATTGCTGATTATTCTTACAACTGTTTACTGTAAATATGTTTAGAAAGTTAGACTTAGAAGATGCAAGAATGCTGAACTGCTACTATGTGATAGCTTGGTTTGTGTTGTGTCTACTTTAAGAGAGCTGTGTTCTACTTTAATTCTGCCTTTCATAAATGTTTTCTTAAATTATGTAAAAATAACAGGCTTCATGTGCTTTAGGAGGCTGTAGTGCTGAGTTAATATTTTTGATGCAGACATTTCCAAAAATTCAATGAGTAGGGGATGTAGCATGTTGCAATTGATCCATTCTGTAGGACATATAAATGTTGCTAATTGCAGCTCTATTGCTGCCTGAAGTAGTGAGAGATTGGGGGGTGGGGAAGAAGGACAGGATATATGATATTGGCAGTAATCCTAACAATTAAATTAAATAATTTAATTGGAAGTTATATATATCCTGATCAAAGGGATGTATTGAGAACAATTAAATATAAACATGAGGAATAAAACATAAGCATGAGAATAACTCTTAATATCATTAATGCATAGATCAACAAAGTGTACACTATATTAACATGAATATTCACAGCCAGTTACTATCTCTCAATTTAATTTGTTAAGAGACTGAAAATGGGAAGGAGAATCTTATATGTTGCTTTCAACCTCTTGAAGGGTAAACAGGATATAAATGCAATGGCAAATAGATATTCTGTAAGGCATTTGATAAAATGGAATCAGTTATCTTGCTTGAAATAATGCTCAGTCCCTGCTCTTTGGAATGGATTATGATAATCTGTTTTATATCCTTAACAAGGTGGGTGGTAAACAAATATGGAAGGTCCTTTGCGATTCTGATGGTAGCAAAAAATAGTTTTTTTGTTTTCTTCAACCACCCTAGCCTGACTTACAAAAATTATAATTTGATACTATTGATTAGTTTTGATACAAGTGAATTTTCATAAAGTTGAGTTTTGGTAGCCATATTTCTCTTTTCATTTATCTTCCAACTCTTGGAAATACGTAAATGAAATTGCAATAATACAAGTTGTCTGGAAGATTCTCAATGAAAAATTTCACATATTTAAAAATGCATATACTAGTATACTCAAACTGCTGTGAAAAAAGTTTGCAATTACTTTGAAATTGTCTTACTAATTTCTTCCTTGTGGTCTCTGTGAATTGCGTGTGGATGTTTCTGTGCTTGCATGAAACTCATTGGAGCATTCTAGAACTTACAGAGAAAACTTTTAGAATAGCCTTCTCTCTGTGCATGTCACTGTGACCAGCAGTTAATCTTCAGTTCCCTTTAGCCACCACTGAGGAAACTCTTAGGAACATTTGCTAGAAGCATTCTCTCACTTATCCTTTCAAAAACCTTACCTTTGGTCATCGTCATCTCCCTTGTTGTTGACCTTCTATCTTTGTCCCTGAGCCACCTTAAAATAGTTAGTGTTTGTTGTTGTAAGGCTTTCCCCCTTCATTTTTGCAAGGCCTTCCCCCCTTTTATGATCCCTGTGGGGCTGTTTAAAAAGTGCATTTCATGCAACAACTAAACCTCCCCCATGAGCGGACATTCTAAATGCTTATACTGCCTCAGGGAGGAGTATCACACACAGACATGTCAGCACTGCCACACTTTCACAAAGGTTAGATAGTTCAGTGGTTTCTAGCTCTGGATCCAGAGATTGGGAATTTGATTCCCCACCGTACCTCTTGACAGGGACTGGACTCAGTGAGGGTCCCTTCCAGCTCTGCAGTTCTAAGATGATGTTGATGTTGTTTTTATTGGTGATGATGATGATAAAAACTGGCAAAAAATTTCTCCAATTTCACCTTTGGGAGAACTCACTACAGGTAGTTGGCTAGCTGACCTAGCAAGCATTCTTGATTCTGGCAGTGTCTATCTTTAAGACACCATCAAAATAAATAATTAGTTGGAACTCAACACCAAGACCCAAGATGGATAGAGACCAAAAGAGGCTGAGATGGTGCAATTATCACCTCTTGATGCTGACAGCACGTTGTTGACCTCAAGGGTGCTGTCAGCTTCAAAATCTACCTCTTGAAGAGTGACATCAGCATTGGCTCCAAGAGTGACATTGGCATTGGTTTTGAAGAAAAGAAAGAAATCTGCTGACTCAGACACAAGTTCTGAAAAAAAAGGAAGCAGAAACACAAACCTAAGGCACTGAAAGATCAGCCAATGACTGCAAAAACATCCAAGGAACTGCTGGCAGTCAGATTCCCCCCTGCAGCCCATAAATAAGGAATATGACAATATTGTATGCCTGAGTTTGGTCTTGGAGTAGGTGTCCCAAATTGTAAGCATCATCTCCAGCATTTAATCAATCTCCAGGGTGGAGTCAGCTTACCCAATGAGCATTGAGTAAGCTTTATCCACTATAAAGAAGCACAAGACCTAAAGACCCTCTCACAAGTCAAAACCAATCACATGAGTCATCCCTAGAATCTTTCTCTATAGTATGGGAGAAAAGTGTTCTCCACTGAAAGAACTTTTGTAAAACCCATTATTGGCAGGAAGAGGTCATGTTAGAATTGAGGTCCTTCACAATTTTATCTATTGTCTTCACTGCTTAGAGGTGTTTAATGTTGGTACATGGGGTGAAGGGCTTGTTGTGTTGTCCTACTGTAAACTGCTTAGAGAAGATGCATGAAATAAATTAAATAAATAGATAGATATTTGTTATGGTGTGATGTCCCAGTTTTATCTGGGGCTATATCCAGAACCAGAATAGCATTCTCTCC